ATGGGCACTCTGGCTGGTACTTCGGCACTTTGGATCCCATCATATGGCTTCCGCGTTTCCATTCCTCCAGGTAGGTGTGAACATGTGGGACAGGACAGTTGAACTTGTTGGAAACTTGTAACATGTTCAAAACTTTCTTTGCATTTTCAACCAGATGTCAAATGTCCTCCATAAGCTTCAATGCAATTGATCGCTGACAGTACTCGATGATGTGCAAGGACTTGCTCAGTGAAAGACTCGGAATGCGGACCCCTGGGTGGCTTTTGGGCCAGTAGTGGGCGGTCCATTCCAACCATGCATCGTAAGGGCTTAGGTTGATCAGCCCAAGCACTGCTTCAGCAGGAACGTCGACTTTTGCCAGCAGGCTGGACAAAATCTGCTCCGGGACCTCGCTGCCAGCCAGGTACTGAGCGCTTTCCTGGAAAGCCGACATGGACCTGCCAGGAGATTCCGGGGCATTCCGGGGTGCAAGCGGTTTGATTTAAAGAGGCATTGACTGACCAATGACTACAGCCCTAGTATAGCTGATTACTTTGTTCAAAGAAACACAAGTTTCTGGGCCTGGTGTCAGCAGATGATGGAACCATGTCCTTGCTAGCTGCCGGCACAATGTAAGAACTCTCTGGGAGCCAGCTGATGTTCGTGCGAGTGCACCTGTCAGGGCTAGTGTTTCCTGGATTATGGTAAGTTTGCCAGCACATGTTGCATATCTTTCCTCCTAATCTAAGAAGTTTGGCTTTGTTTTGAATCAAACCACCACACCTGTCCGCCAAAAGCTGAGAAGAGGCAAAGATATTGTCTGCAACAGTACCTTCTTGCATACAGATCCATGCAGCAAATTGTAGAGGGACATGCTTCTGACTTGGGGCTTCTTTCATCCGGATCATGATAAGCTCTGACTGGATCTTCACAGCATCAAGTTTATCTTCCACTCGCCTAGTCAGGGAAGTGAGACATTGAACCAGTGAAGAATACCTGCGTATCGAAACGAGAAAAGATAAACATGGGGGTTGGGATATGTTTATACCATTTTATACTTGTTGTTCTTTGTAGTTTGAAGAAACCCTGGCCTGATCTCTCCACGTACACCATTCTGGGTGCGCTCTGAAACGAGAAAAGGACTGATAACGACTGCCACACTGTGTTGTGGTTTCCGGGAAAGAATGGATGATAGGAGGTCGCAGGTGTCATTCAGATCACATCCGCTCAATTTCCCATACTTGGTAAAGTCGAGCCACACAATGTTGGCAGCCCACTCGTTGTGCTCGGCCAAATCGTTGATGAACTGCGGCACTTGACCAAAAACATATGGAACCCAAGTCTCAAGTGTACCATGCCTAGGAGTAAGAACTTGAAACAGCAAATCCAATGAAAGGGGTGTTATCATTTAAGGATTTTTGATAACTTCTAGCCTTTTCAGCTGCCGCTTCTTGTTCGTTGTTTCTGCCCCCAACAAGACGGATGTTCAGGTCCATGAATTTTGAGATGGTGGTGGCCCCCACACGGTTTTGATGCTTGAGATGCAACACGCGCTGGAGGCGATTGCTGCGGCTGTTCTTCGTCTCCTCCTGGTACAGGCACCCCAACTGCGCTACGTCCCGGGTCAATTTCAAGCAGTCTTGGTCAAAGCTCATCTTGTGAGAATCTTTGGTCAGCACATCCAGCTTCTCATCCACGGTCGCAAATTGTTGGGAGGCAGGCTGAGCTTTGACATGATCTCTCCTCACTTGTGTGCTCTAAAATCTTTGAGGGTTCTAGACTCTAGACCAGTCTTGATTGATTTCACTTGTTTGGGGACTCGTTCACTCCAACATGAACATGATGATCATGAAAAAAGGTGCAACAATGAAAAGCCAAAAAAAGACCTCCTCCAAACAATGTGTTTATTAGGAGGGTTTGTTGGCTCACGCAGTAAAGCTGAGAATCCATATCTCTGTGTGGTGTGCCTGGAACTGGACATCTTTCAGAGCAACCAAAGCAGCGAGCTCTGGATTGTAGTCCCTTGGAGTGACAGGAGACAGTTGCATTGGGTTCCAAAATGTTCCAAAACAACAATTCCCACATTACTTTTAAAATCACAAATATTTCGTATCAACGGAATCATTTTAGAAAGTAAAGCCAGTAAAGCGCATTAAAGCGCGATGAGGCGCCCATCAATAGCCCGCTTGCGAGCTTTTGCCAGAGCGTCAGGGTCAAAAAGTTGATCGCCTTCGTGAGTCACTGCTATCTTCATTTGCTCTATGATGTAGTACGCCAGAGACATGCGTTCCACTTCATTGTTCCACTCCACTGGTGCAAGGCGGGCTGATGATGCTTTGCCCCCACGAGACGAGGCGCGATCGTGAAGGAAGAGTATCCGAGACAAGAATAGCGATTGCTTGCCATCATCCATCTTCAAAATGCTATGCCACAGGGGGCTGTCAACTCCATCAGAGCATCCGTCCAAAAGCCATCTTGTTGATGTGAGCGTTTGCGAATTGAAGGCTGGCAGGGCCAAATGGAACGAAGTGAAAACGACCGAAACATTGCGAAACAAGTTTTGACTTTTGATGCACTAAGCACACTAAGTCCCTCATGATGAAAACGGCCCCCACCTGAGTCGGAAAAGCGATGCTGGTGCAAATGATTCTCAATCATGCTCCAGACATATGCGCTAACACCCACCTAGCAAGAGGGAAGAGTAAGAGCACAAATATTTGTTTAGTTCATAAGACGGCTGTGCCCTAAGTTTAAATACAATGGTCTGGACAATAAAGTTCAATACAGTAAGTCTAAGTGTGGAAACCCAAGTCAGCCTTGAAGCCATACATTTGACCAGCTGTGCTGTCATCGATCTTCCGTTTGCAATTCTGGGCTGCACTGCCATAGGCGTTGTATTCAGCAACCG